CAATAACAGCTCAACAACTTGTTCAGTTGTACTAAGATACTATTTTTGTGAATCATGGATTAAACAAAGTTTTAATCATTGATAGAGATATTCATTTCACTAGTTTGTTTTGGAAAACTTTGTTTAGTTTTTTCAAAACCAAATTAGCAACGTGAACAGGTTATCATACTCAAACTGATAGTCAAATAGAGAGAGAGCCAATAAAATTGTAGAGGATATACTGTGGCCATTCATATTAGAGTAGCAAGAAGAGTGAAATACTCTTTTGACTCTTTTGGAATTTGCATATATAATTCTATAAATGCATCTATAAAAGTGTATCCATTTTACTTCATGTACGTTGCTCATTCCATTACTTTATCAAGTTTGATGAAGTTTTCAAGATGAGAGTAGTCACGGTCAACGAGTTTGTGGAACATATCCACTAAGGGCTACACCAAGCAAAGTAAAAGTTGATTGCTTAAAATCAACAAAAACAACGTGCAGATGTTCATCTTCGGGTGTTAGTTTTTCAAGTTGGATATTAGTTTTGGCTATCTACAACAAATTTGTCTCTTGTAGGAACATCAAAGTTTAAGCCTAGATTCATAGATACTTTTGTGATATTGAAACGTGTTGGTTAAATGACATACAAGTTGGAGCTTCCATCACATATGAAAATACACAATGAAAATACACAATACATCAAGTGTTACATTTGCGAAAACATGTACCACAACAAAAACAGTTCAAAAATCCACCAGTGTTAACTTCCTTACCAACCTTGATAGTTGATCAAGAGGAATTTGAGATAAAATAGATCATGAAGAAATGGATTTGAGGCCATAAGTATGCCATGGTTCAATGGAAAGAATATTCATCATACGAATCAATTTGAGAACCAGCTAGAATTTTAGCTAATGCACCATTGATAGTTCAAGAATTTGAACAGATGTACATCAAGAACGTTGTGTGTTAAAAGGAGAGAGGTTTGTAATCATCTTTAGTAAGAAATAAAGTAGAGGTTACTTAAATGTTGATATAGATACTTTAGCGTGCATTAGTCATAGTGTGGTAACGCAGTTTTTGTTTTTTTTCGGAATTAAAACATTTTTGAATAGTAAGTACCGCGGTAGCAGCTATAAATAATAATCGGTACGCGAAAACAGAGTAAAAAGAGAATCTCGGGGTCTAGGAGAATCAAGGGCAGTCTAGGGGTTTTTGGACTTAGGCCACAGTCAGGCGTCTTGGACGGAACGGGCGGTTCATGCTGCAGGGTCCGCTTCAAGCACCTTCGGCGATAGCGCCTTCGCTGAGGAGCCTTCGGCTAAAGCGCCTTCGGCGCAAGTAGAAGGAAGTCCCTTCGGCTCAAGTTCCTTGGCGGAGGCTCTATCGCAGATGACGTACGAAGCATGTATTACGGAACTTCTTCGTCGGTGGAAGCGACCTCGTCGTTAGACTTCGCCTTCGGCCGAAGCGCCTTCGGCCAAGCACCGTCGGCATTAGCGCCTTCATCGCTAGCGCCGCCTTTATCCTTAGGGTTCGCCTTCGGCAGAAGGCTGTGCCTTCGTCTCTAGGATGCTCCTTCGGTGGAAGGATGCGCCTTCGGCGGAAGAAGAAAAGAAAAAGAAAACGGCTGAAGCGAGTGCCTTCGGCGGTACGCAGACGGAGAGTGGAGTCGGTGGAAATCAGCGGGATTAAGTCGAATGTAGAAGTGTGGGAGTCCGCGCAACGGCGGAGCGTGAATTTGCGCGTGCGAATTAGACCGTTACGCCTAATCGCCGGCACAACATTCAAGCGGGTCGCTGCCAGTCCAAAGGTCAAACTATGAGAGTTCTTTATCGTAGAAGGAGAAGCTCATTCACTCATTTCCAATTTTGCACTTGCTTGAACACGCGACGCGCACTAGTAGCAGGAGCTCGCAGAGATTTTCAAGAATTCAATGGCCAAGTCTATTCCGCTGCGGATGGTTCCACTACGAGTGCCGCAAGTCGGATTGCGGGCGTTTCAAGATGAGCTGACAGCGGTGAAGCTCAATTTTCTTCTGTAGGGATGGAATTGGGTGTGCCCGGCGATGGTCCGGGAGTGGCTGCGCGAGAAGGACCAGCCTCTGCGAGGTTATCGACCGCACCCGGAGAGATGGCGAGTGAGTGAGTGGGAGTAGGTCTTGGGACGATGTGCGGGAGAGGAGGGTGACCTCCTGTTCGAGTGCGAGAGTGTGCATCTCTCAAAGGAAGAAGAGAGTAGCGATTATCGCGAAGGGATCAAGAGAGAGATAACTTACCAGGGCCTCGGGAATTGGGAAGGAATTCGACAAATCGGGCGCTTTTTTTCCTTCGGCGCACTTTTAAAGAATTGCAAATCGAGCAAGAACGGGTACAGGACCTATGATTATGTTGATCGTAAGCGGAGGAATGTCGCGATAGCACTCTTCCAGATTTTGCAGCCGCACATGACTACCTACATGACATCTTGGCAGATGGGGTTCGTGGAGCTGGCGTTGGCGGGTACCCCAATTCATTGGGCTCGCATTTTGTGGAGGGCCACACGGCAGCATGCAGGGGAGGAGAAGGGAGGATCGATTAATCACCTCTTCCCTTTCTTGATCAATTTTTATCGGTTGATGGGGTGTTTGACAGCAGAGAAGAGGATACAATTTCCCATGCTGTCGCGGGCGAATCGGCTGGTGAGGGATGTCGAGGTTGATATGGACCCCGACGAAGTGCCCGCCAGCACATCACCCGCTCGACTGAGAGCAGAGGAGGAACCGAGGGGAGCGTGGGCACACGGGAAGCGGAAATGGGATGGAGAGGCAGAATTGAGTCAGCGAGAATTGCTCGCTGTCCCAGTCAGGCGTCGGGCAAACAACGAGCCAGCCCGACCGAAGCAGAAGGCTCGCAAGCTGATCTTGCCAACGGACAACAGCGCAGACACGGGGCGAGCTGCAGTTGCGAGGAACTCACCATCCTTGGAGGAGGATGTGAGTGCAGAGGTTCTTGGGAGGTCGACTAACCTCCCTGCACCGAAGGCACGAGTGCCTTCGGAGGAAGCACGCAGGCCTTCGGGCCACAAAGGAAGGCATGCGGCAACGGCCGGAATGCCTGCGATGGAAAGGTGCTTGCCTTCCGAGCAAGTACCATTTGATGACTTGCCTTCGGGTCAAGGGCCTTCAGCTTAAGCGCCTTCGGCGCAGGAGCAGTTCAGGGTGAAGCCTTCGGCGCAGAAATCCATGGAGCACATTACTGCGGGCGAAGGCAGGGATGCGGAGACACGTGTGCCTTCAGCGGAAGCGCCTTCGGCGGTACCAGTCCGGGAAGGTGTAGCAGGCCCACATGGAGCAGGTTCTCCTACCCCGTTGGAAGTATTAGCAGGATATGGAGTGGAGGCCGCAGCAGAGGAAGCTGCGCGGCCTAGTCCGAGAGAATCGCCAAGGATTTCTGCAGCGACAGATATTCTGGAGACCGAAGACGACACGCCTTCGGAGGAGGAGGAAGTGTAGTCGGTGCGAGGTACACCGACTGGAGTGCTCTGCGAACAAGTGGTACCGCTACTCCGGTACCTTGATCGCAAGGCGACCAAGTACGGGGATCCCCGCCAGTCTGGATCCTATGTTGAGCTGGTCTGAAATCGGACTCAGATCAAAGTGGCGACAAATCCCAAGTTGATGGTCCTGGACCAGAAGTGGCGACAAATCCCAAGTTGATGGTCCTGGACCAGAAGTATCGGCAGCTGGAGGAGCGCTACAATTTTCTGCAGGATCAGTGTGCCTTATCGCGGAAACTGCAGAAGACGGCGATTCAGCTGCGAGATAAGATGGTGAGTAATGCGTAGCGCGAAATTGATGAGCTGTGTGCGAAGGTTCAGGCGGAAATCAGTTCTGAGTAGGCTCAAAACCGCATTCTGGCGGGGGAGCTCGTGCGACATAGAATAAGTTCAAACCATAGACACATCGCGTGTATTACAGTCTGGAGCTCGAACTTTGCCTCATGCCGGCGGGTTTCAGATCAGAATTCTGACTTACTAGTCGACCCTCTCTACTCAATCGAGATTTCGTGTGGTTTTCTGTACTAATCTCGATCTTGCTTCGGTCGCAATCCTGCTTCGATATACTCGCAATCAGGGGATCAGAATTCTGACTTACTAGTCGACCCTCTCTACTCAATCGAGATTTCGTGTGGTTTTCTGTACTAATCTCGATCTTGCTTCGGTCGCAATCCTGCTTCGATATACTCGCAATCAGGGGTTGACTGAGAATTCGGCTTCGGACGAGACATCTTCACTTTGATATCTCAGCGACTTTTGGACCTGAAGTCGATTCCTCCTCCCTGACGTCTTGAGGGATGACACAGTTTGACTTCGGGGTTTTCTGCATCCGACGAGATACTACAGCCAAGTCATTTAGTATGCCATCTGCCATGCATCCAGTGCTTTGCAGGTATTTGAATGAGTGTTACAGGTCTTGTCATGAAGCTTCCGGTTACTTTCAGAACTCGGTAGGACTTTCGTCAAGCGAACCGAGCAGACGGAGAGCTTTCTAATCGGCTTTCTGTAGGTCACCACGTAGAAAGGGCGGGCAGGCAGTCAACAGAGTCTGAGTGGGATCCCAAGTGGACGAATTCGCGGTTCAGCTTTGTTCCATCCAACTTCCTCGAGTTAGATTGGCGAAAAACACAACTGGGAAACGGGGATCGGGGACACCGAGGAGATCCGTGTTCCCGCACTCGGCAAACAGATGCTTGATTCGATCTCTATCTACTCCTCCCGAACTTTTCGTATGCGACAACATTATTCGGCACGGAAGTGTGCTCCCAGTGGCCAGATGCGTCTCCGCGCAACGAGCCCGGAGCTGAGATGCTGGAACAGGCAGAGGCAGAGGCAGATGCAGAGCCCTGCATCTGATACGCTCCTGAATTTGAAAGTCTTGCAATGTGACAAACAGTGTGCAAGGAACAGTGGGACATCCTGACATGCCAAACGCAGTGCGATCCACTCATCGAAATTCGACAATGACGACCATAAGTTGACAAAATATAAGGGCTTGAAGCTCTGATTAATGTGGCGAATTCCGCCACAAGCTGATCACACAGAACGATTCACATATTTCTTGGAGAACTCAAGCCCGGCTCAAAATTGCGTGGCGACCTGGTGGGCAGATAAAGGCCGGCGAGACTAATGTACGCAGAAAGACTAAAGCCGTGCATGGGGACGAGGATAAATCCTCAGCATAGCTGCTGTACGCCAACTCTGCGTCTGAAGAGTCTCCCGGCGCCTCAGTCGGGCGGCTTCTGCGAACAGTATCGAGATGATGGGGACTCTCGATTACGAGGACGACAGACGCCATGTAGAACCGGTGTGATGGCGGTGTGCGCCTCATCGCCCAGTCTGCACATCCCTGTTTCATGCTCTCGCATGCGCGCAGGATCTACCACCTACCAGAGCAACCACTTGAAATATACCTACGTAGCAGGGGGTGAGGACAGACAATTTGGAAGTCGAGCAACCAACTGATCACCATCTTTTGCCACGCCCACCTCCACCACCACCACCACCCCTGCCTCCTCGCCATCCACCGCCGCCTCCCCTTCCCTTGTTACCTTGATAACCTTTTCCTTCCCTTTCACCGTTGTCCGCACCTCCCTTACCTTTGCCTTTCTTGTCCCACTTGTCCTTGTCCGAGGAGCCGAAAAGCTTTTCTACGATAAGATCACCAGATGGAGAGAAAAGAGACTCCGGCAGGGGCATGAGCCTATCGACACACTTGCGATAACTGAAATCTTCCACCGAGCCGTCTGTTCGGACAAGGTAATAACATCTACTATGCCATCCGGTGTGGAATCTAATTTGGAACGCTTTAATCCCCGAACCGACCTTGGACTCTGCGTCTCGATGGCCCTTCGTTATCAGATCGGCAAGTACCATATGCTCGTACTGCACGCATGTAAACACTTATTAGTACAGCCAACCATGTACGCAAGATTCGTAACTACGAGATATCAATAATCATCGCCCAGGTTAGTTCCCTGTTCTTTCTAGTACAATGTAACAGTCCGGGGTAGAACGAGGAGTCCAATTGTCTTCCACGGACACTCAGAACAAATCGATTACACACTCCGGACTGGCGGTTGACGAAATCACGATTCTATCTTATCGTTCCAGGTGATTCTGCTGTGACTACGACTCAGCTCGCACAACCTCCAATACAAAGTCTTCGGAAATGCCAAAGGCTTTGGTGGAATATGGACGTAAAACACAGGTTTTCGAGTTCATGCCCTCAAATATGAACTCGAAAATCCTTAAAACCCTGGGAGTGGGAAACGTGAGCACGTGAATGTCATCTAGTGGAATCTAGATGAATACCATCTATACAGCTCATTTCAAGATTCATAGTACTGATTTATAAAAAGAATCAACATTCGACGGTTGAAGGTCAAGGAAAAACACGACACCCCCTTAAACAGCTTAAACCCTAGTTTCATCAGCCCTCAAGGGTAAAAAATTAGCTTGCCAGAGATAAAGAAAGAAACCACCACACACTTGGGGCAATTGAGAGGCAATTGAAGCTTAGAGCCGTGAATAAAAATTTGTACTACTGCACAGTAAAAGATTCCGGAAGAGCTGCAAGAAGAGACCAGACTGAAAAAAACGGACAAACCTTGTTGATATCCACGTTGGCGATCCAGCCGTGCAAAAGATCGTAGAAGTAGGTGAACATCTCAATCCCCGAGTGGAAGAGTTTGGGACCGAGCTTTACAGGCGCAACTGGGTCCTTCTCCTCCTTGCCATTGTCATTAGCCTTCAATCTCTTCGAATCGTCATCCCCATTCTCAGTCTCTTCTCTCTCCCTCTTTCCTAAACTTGTCTCAGTAGTGACTTCCATCGTCACTTGCTCTGCAGCCACGACGGTGGTGGTAACGACCTCGGTGACCTCAGTAGTAGTGACAGTGGTAGTCTCGACGGTCATTCCATCAACAGCAGCAGCCGCCTCCTCGGGGGCGTCTTCAATAAGCATATCGTCCTTTGCGACCTCTCCTATGGTCTTATCAGCGAGAGTCTCCGAGGTGATGTTTTCATTCGGGGGGATATCCACGACGGGCACTCCGGGATCAGACACAGCCACTGCAGAGGCGGCAGCAGCCACAGCCTCCACCTTAGGCACAGTCGAATCCGCACCCTCTTTCGCCCCCAACATTCCGTCCGAGGCTACATCAACGACGGGCGCGTGAGGATCAGAGGCAGCGGCAGAAAGAGCAGCCCCGGCCTCTGGCGAAGTCATGCCGCCGACGCTTTTTCTCCTTCTCTCCTCTCGGCCTACCTTTCTGCTCAAGTCTTGCTCGGAGATGTCGTTCGGTCTATGCCACGAACATTTCCCGTCCTCCTCTCACTTAATTTCTTCAGCCTGCGTCGCCAGCAGCCCACTTGCCTGCAGCAGGCGTAATAAGTACTTCCGGCGAAGGAGAAGAAGAAGAAGGGGAAGCAGCCGAAGGAGAAGAAGGGGAAGAACCAAGGAGACGAGAGAAGAGGACAGAGCAGCCCTAACCACACCAAACCGTTGGGTGCGCCACTACGGTCAGGGTAGTGGTGGTCGTAGTATCACAGACGGCCTGTACGAGTTTTCTAATGATACACTACAGTATGGCTCGGGACTCTGTACCAAACGGTGTCTGGGCAGTTGAAAAGAATATGCACTTCCCGTCCGTCCTCCGCTGCCGTCGACTGGCCATTTCGCGACCTCCGGGAACCGCAGCCTCCACTGGCCCTGGATCTGAAAGTGCTTGCTTCCGGTACGTAGCTTATCACCGGCCGGCCGAGCAGGTCGCCGTCGAGTGGTCTCTGACATCGGGAAGAAGCTTGTGCCAGAAGCCACAGAAAAGCCGGGCGAGGTGAAACTGGAGACGCGCAGCGAGAATTTTCGCCCGCATCGAGCTCGTGAATGAAATTCGGGCGAACACATGGTTTCTCGTGGCTTATCGTGGGCCCACCACACATCCACAATTTGCTCTTTCTCGTTCGCGGGCCACGAGAGCGTCGTAGCGTCATGTCAACGGGCGCAGAGGCAGAGCAGGCGCGCAGAGGTCGAGAGCATGGCCACTACACTCACAGTGATGGTGGGAGCAGCCATGGCTACGCGCGCGTCGAGTTCCCTCGCCCTCCCTCTTCACGGAGGATCACTCACGCGGAGCAGCGCAGCTTCGGGACCGCAGTCTGTTAAGCTCTCAACGTCGAGAACGCGTGCGAGCCTTACACTGTCGTGTCGATATCGAATTCGATGTTCCGCTTCAAATTCTTCCTCCGAGGAGTCGACGGTGGATGCGGCTGATGCGCGCCAGCAGGAGGAGGGGCAGAACGAGCTGCAGGAGCAGCAGCAGCAGCAGAAGCCGAGACGGTCTCAGAAAAGCAGAGTGGGAGGGGAATCAACGGACTGGATAGCGTCGTCTCTGACGCGGAGATTTGGACTCGGTGCAGGTCTCGCTTGGGTTGGTTTTCTTGCCTTCGGAGTCATCTCGGAGCAAATCAAGACGCGCACCGAAGTCTATCTTGAAACACAAGGCACCAAGTACCGTGAATTTTAACCCACTCTCCCCACATTGTCCAATTTTGCGCTGATTGTGGTTACAGTGCAAGCGTTAGACGGGAATTGATTTATGCTCATTTCGTGTTTCGTAAACGCAGGGATGTCGACGGTGGGAAGGAAGTGGTTCTTCCCAATGGTATTAGATACGTAGACCTGCGGAAAGGAGGAGGATCGGCGCCCTACAAGGGAGATTTGGTTGTTGTGGACATCACTGGGAAGGATCGGAGGACAGGGGAGGTTTTTGTGGACACCACAGCCAAAGACAAGCGGCCCCTGGCGTTTGTTTTTTTGTTGAAGCCGTATGCCGGAGGAGTTTGTGACGGGGTGGAGCTTGCCATGGAGAGCATGAAAGCAGGTGGAATTCGGAAAGTGATTGTTCCACCAGAATTGGGCTTCGGAGAGACTGGTGCAGATTTTGGAGATGTGAAAATTCCTGGTGGTGAGGAACTCGAGTATGTCGTGTCGCTGCAGAGGGTTTCCATAGCTCCATCTTGAATAAGGCCGTGAGCACAAGCTATCTGTAAATTAGTGACGTAGATGACGAGAATTCGAAAACTGTACAGCAATTGATCTCAACTCATTGCACAAGATTGGCACTGTAGAATCTAGTGAACTGAGCTGTTAATCCTTCATCCATTTTCTACTTTATCCCTCAATGCCGCTGGGTAACTTGGCTATCACGTACAATCGATGTGGATTTAAAACGGTTGGAGTCACCACTGATGTTTGGAGCTTTCGTGAGAGTAGACACTGCCCAACTTTTAACAGTCGCAATCATCCAGGTCACGCAGCTTGCAATTCGTGTCATAGACGAACAGATCTAGCACATGAGAAGAAACGTTTCACAGTAAGCTAACCAGCCGAGGGTTGAATTTTACAAGGCAGCAGGGCGGCAACGTAAACAATGTCTGTGAGAAAATCTCAGAGACGCGTTGCCTTCAATATTACCATTGAGATCTGCGTTTCCCTTGAGTGCTGTCCGGCGCAAGTCAACCTCCAACTACTCAGGGTTAAATCTGCTCATACAAGGAAGATTTTTTGAACTACCAGTGCGATGAGAACGAGTAATTGGCAAAAGAAAATCACAAACGTTCAATGCATTACACTTTCAGAGAATTTTCCGTCTTATTCTATCGTACAGATGCCGTGATATCAAGAGTCTGACCTTCAATCAGCAGCATGATGTACACAGTTTGTGCAAATTCCTCGAAGAAGTCAACTCTGTTTACAATTACCTCGCATGCACCATCTAAACGCTGCACACGACATGAATGCCACAGTTAAAGAGGAGCTCCTTCATGCCACAATCTTGGCGGCATCTCTAGCTGGAATGCCAGATCTCTCAGCCGTTCTCAGAGCCATTTCTATGTTTCTTCCAGAAACTATCCTACGCAGTCATTCCAGATACTTGTACAACTCCGTGGAGTTCACATCGAGAGCTGCATGTGGATCACCAACTGGCCAAACATGTGCAAAGCCCTTGGAAGGTTTACTTACCTCTAGCTGGGCAGATTAGCCCCGCAGTTGGAGCTCGATGGGCGCGTGATGATTGTGACTACTAAGAATATGATCTCAGACGAAGACTGCCGACCGCCGAGAGTGCTTGAGACGTGGCCCATCGTCATCATATTCCTCTTCTGTTCTAACTCAGAATCTCTGCCTCGTACACTGCAAGTGCTTGTATCGAGAGTGCTCCCTCGGTAGTTCAGGAAATCACTCTTGGAGTCCACACGTGTAGGGCAGAGCTTTGTGGTCACAAGTCATACTGTTTTGCACCTAATCCATGGCGTCAGGATACTTTCCCGAAGCAAAAGCGACTTGAATCACTGCGATGGTAAAGGAGGAAGCCATTACATCTTCTTCGTACGTCAACGTTTCCTACGGTGGATATAAGTTCCTAAGCATCCTTCATTCAAAATTCAGTAAGTGAGTTTCTGTTAAAGAGCACATGTGATTATTCTCGAGGATTTGAAGTTGACTCTTGATAATATATCAAAAAAATATTGATGGAAGTGATTCCTTCCAACTGTTGGACAAATTGTTAGACTGATCAAGAAAGTTTAATGTGAAGATTAATGTGCCCAAAAACATTCTCGGCTAGAACATCTGATCGTAATCCAAGTTTAGCATTTGTGACTGCATTTGACGAGAAGTAGGTCAACTGAATGCTATCTTTATGATATTTCAATGATTTACAATTTGAATAGTCAAGATTACATCAAAATTAGAATTCACCTAATATAAGGTTTCTTAACCTGCAGTTTCAAGGTCGATTTGTTCTCATCGTCTTTGGAACTTCCTTGAAGTCTTCCAGATTTTGCAAGTTAGCATAATTCTATCGAGAAACCAATTACTTGCGTAAGAGATGAGGATGGAAGAAAATAAATTTCAAATCATAAATTTGCTCCAAAATGCGTTGTTTGATAAACATTTATAAAATCCCAAGTTATGTTGAATTAAGTCGAATAAACAAACATGTCCACACAACTAAAATGCAATAAACGATCATTGATATACGATAGTCATGTGTGAGACAAAAACTACGATCAAATGAGAATGACCAATGATATATGTCATACATTTGGAAGATTATTTGAGTCGAACCACATTTACTTTTTTCAAATTCAAAATTGGAACTTTTGTTCCTTGTATAATATGATCATTCATCATGCTTGAATCATAAGTAGATCACTTGCAAAAGTTTCTTGCTATCTTGACCCTGAAGTATATGGCAATGTTTGAAAATCTAGTGAAAATTTATGATATTATGTAAATAACTATTATGTATGTTTATTTGAATTTATTAATTACTTGATTTTGTCAATTAAATCAGATTTTTTAATCTATTCGATTTTTCTAATGTTGATGTTTCATGCGCTAATTCGTGATTCAATTTTTTTGTAAAATGCTACAAAATTTCTGATTTTTTAAAAATCGCCGTGAATACTTTTACATTTGCATGATAGTTTCCATTTAGAAATTTTGATGATATGTATTTTTCATAATTACATCAGAAATTTTTCTATAAAAATATTAAAAATCACTTCAAAGCTTGATATTCATTTAACATTTAAAAATATTTTTATTCTCACTTATCAAGTAGATCTAAAAATGATATTAATTCTATTTTTTATTTTTTATTTTATTTATAGATTATTTTTTCATTGTAAAAATTGATAAAAAATAACAATTGACATCAGAGCTTGAGTGATACTAGTGACAATGTTTTTGCTAGGGATATCCGTGACAATCTTGAACCACAATGAAAATACTAGTGAGAGTTTATCGAAAATATGAGACATGAATGGTTCGAAAGTGACAGGTTCAACAATTAAAGTTTTTAAACAAGTATATGAAGCCTTAGATATATATTTCACTAGTTGAAACACTATTATCTCGTACCTCTTGTTCAGATATGAGATGTATGAATAGTGTTTATTCTTAGTAATTTAGAATAATTTTTCCAAATTATCGAATTATCTTCGAAAGGGAACCAAATTAAGAGCATCTAGTGAGAAAGCAACAGACAAGAAGGAATAAAGTTTTGTAAACAATACTGAAGAGGAAGGATAATTACAAAAAAGTGGCTCACTTGAACCAGCATACTAATTAAAACCATAAATACAGCAAAATGGTAAGCCAATCATAGCAGAAGGGTTTATAGAGTCCACGCATTCGTACACAAAATCCTTATCTAAGCGAGTGATAGGTTTGGTGAGAATTATGACTTTATGGAATGAAATGAGAATGCTCAAAAAAAAAGCTGCGTTGTCTCTTAATTTAAAATAAGATTTTACATCACACTCTCCTTAGGTTAATTTCTTTTAACCGAAAATCTAACTAAGATTTTTACATCAAGTAAACAACATTGAGGATAAAATGGATAATCTAGATAATGGAAAGACTTTGGTCTCCAGTGATCTTTCATCGTCTAGATATCATGGTGTTTCACGCATCTCGAGCATGTATACTTATTCTCGTGTTCTTATCGCCTCCTCGTGTTCTTAATTTGTGATGCTTTCATATCTCATTAATCTAGACTTGTTTTCGGAGTCAAGGCGACTCCGAAAACTAGGACGAACGCTAGTCACTTAATATCAACTGCTATTGCGGATTCAAAAGTCTGCAATCGCCGGGTTAACAACTATTACCACTTGAAGCTCTCACTGATCATAACTTTAACCAACAATTGTGGAAAATGACGAAGGATCCACCTCATCTTTATCAACCTTGGCTTCTAGATTCAGAGAAACGTGAAAGCGATGAGAGATTCAATAGTTCTCCATTTTGTATCTCTGGTGTCGGTTTGTTTCGAGGAATGTGAATGACAGTTTCTATTTTGAAGTCCGCATACGAGGTCAGGACCTCAGGTTATGATGAAAACTCTGTACTCGGTCTTCAACAAAGACACAGATAGACAGCAGCTACTATTTGAATTTCGAGAATTCGAGGCTCCTTCATCAGTTGTCCCATTCAGTGCATTCAGTGCTCACTGCTATGTTTCTGAACAAGAGATGACATGAAAAGTTTAGGGTTCACATAGATTTCACGAATATGAAAACACCTTGATGGTGAGGCTGGTCTTCCATGCTGAGCTACTATTAATTTACTTTCAAGGTTAAGAAACCAGAGATCGAGGTGGAAACTTGTAGCCTGAAGTAGCTTTTTCTTGCGCGCAACGTGGATCCACATATCAGCGACCAGAATATCTAGCCGAGAACTTTAAAAGAAGAGTTGGACTTAATGTTTAAACAATCTCAGCTAGAACTCTCTAATCACGTATTATATCTAGCCTTCTCGTGTTTCCTCATGACTGAGAGGACTGGATTTGAGACTCCAATAATATCGAATGACGTGAATATGTACAAAGCCTGAACGCAGCTGTGACTTGGTTTTTCATGATGATGAACGGTCAAAGAAGATTTGTCATCATTCTCAGTTGCTTCTCCCCATTGAGAAGGATCGTCCGCGGTTGGCAACATCTGGTGGACAGATCTCTTGTTCTCCAGTTTTGCAGGATGAGCCGAATTGACTCTTGAACGAGAGTCAATAGTTTCACTGCATGACCTTTATAGTGGCGTGTGCAGCAAAATTGCAAGATATATGGAAATCTGCACAAATTCAGCACGTCCTGGCAAGAAAACACCAGATGTTGATATGGTCAGGATTCGGCTGTCTCTTGATCCCTTCTTTAAACCGATAATAAAATGATATTCATGTGGTCCCAGTGTCTCACTCAGATCACGTTCTAGTGAACGTGATCTGAGTGAGTTCTGGTGAGCGATGCAGTGGATAATGGTATAATGAACATTATTCAGTGAAAAATAACAATTGTGTAATGTAACAAGTTTCCAAGGAAATGTTCCTCCGAGAAGGCACTTTTCACGTTGCAAGTTCGAAGATACTGTAGCCAGGTACAATTGATTACAATTCAAGATCAAGGAGAATAACAATGAAAACTAATGAGCAGAAAGTTGAAGAAATTATCCCTCGCTGCATGCATACTTCGAGTTTGACAAAACAGCATTGTCGATTATTTTTTCTAAGGATGCCTCTCAGTGACCTCCCAAGAAACAATCAATTACGTGCATGCAGGAAAATACGACATAACATTGTATCTAATCCAAAAACAGACATGATTTCCCAGGAATGGAGAGTTGGGTCTACAGTTTTAGAGGTTCTCTCGTTCCTTGAGAATGATGCGCCGCCGGCTAAATTGGGCGAGAGGCTGATCATCACCATGCCAGCAGCGGGAACAGTTTGTTAGGGTCATCATCAATCATACCCTACAAGCGCCGCAGTGAGGGGAGCTCACAGTACAGGTAGTCATTGTCGCCTTCTATGGTACCTAACGAATTTCTCGGATTCGGATTTCAGTTGGAATTGGGTCAGTCTATTCCGACCGCTTGATCAAAACTTTCGACGTTCGGATATTCCATTTCACTTTCACGTCTGATCTGGAAGTGTAGAAAGTCTTCAAACAAAGAGGGCACATGGAACATCATACCCATTTCGCGAGCAAATCTGGATGAGGAATCGCACAGATGGAGAGTCGACGCGAAGCAAGCAGCAATCATCATCAGGCTAACTGCTACAGTTAAGAATATATATGAACATGCTATGCTGAAGTGTTTCTCTACATTGAGCGTAAACAGCCAAATAATAGATCTTTTTCAGTCCATAAAGGGACACTGAATTAAACCTGGATGGCAGACAATCATCCCCACAGGAAAAAAGAAAGGAGAAAGCGACCGATCACTTAATATATTTGAACAATTTTGTGGGGTTCAACACGAGACTAATTCACGAGTTGGCCCGACCTTCGACCTGAATTCCTTTCCTGAACTGCGACGCAACTTCCGTGCGTACATTCCAGACTAACAGTAAGATTTACCGAAATTCAACCTCGAGTGAAATGTAATATTCCAGAACCCATTTTGCTGTTGGGATTGACAGAACTCATAGAGGACGCTTTGAAAGATAGAGATTTGGTTAGAGTTTTTACATATATCACGAGTCTAAAAGATTTATGAAACATGTGGAAATTTCACAATCTTCCTCACCGAGCACCCTTGTCCTTGACCTGGACTCGGCGAGCCCATGGAATCAGCTGGGCTTTTATGAGAAAAGTCGCCAAGGATCTTCGTGAGACTCCTGTAACAAAAATTATACGCAAGTTTGAGAAATTGAAGAGTTGATTCGCTGGAAAAAGGAGCAAGCTTTAAGACACACACTGCCCTGTGAATTACGAAGATCCTTGTGGACTTGCCCGAGTAGTGTTGAGTCGACCTGATGCTTGGGCTAGAAGCCGAGACTACATTGGCTGGCGTATTCTCATGGCCAGGGTCAAGGTGGTCAACCTTGAGATTAGCTACTTAGAGCATAGCCCAATTAAGGGGACGTTGAACCATGACCATTTCAGGGTTCCTAATTGTCTTCATACGGTGATCCCTTAAGAAGACAACGTATGAAACCTGTCATCTACAACCATGACGAAGTTGATCAGATGTCATGGTTCAAACTTCGTCATATATCTGTATATGTGTCTATGTTCTACTCATCTTTCTCTTCCAGAGAGCTCTAATGAATGTGGCCCGAGTAACTCAGGGTCTTCAAGTTAGAGGAATATTCTTTCTTGGACATTTCTCGCAGCTAGTTTTGTCAAATAGGAATCAATCTTGATGAACATGAAAGATTGAACGCATCTGCTGCACTTGATCAACAAAAATAACCTCCACTTTGGACGAATTGATGATTCCTGCCAAATCCTCTGAACTTCTTGCAAGTTATTAAAAGTGAATGCAGAGGATAGTCGAAATGGTAAAATCCACACCAGAGTATGTGAACTGGTCGGGCAAGTCGCAATCCTCGTGACGGGCAGAGCACGAGATTTCGCGATGTCTGGATTTTCTTATGATGTATTCACTCGTTTGATGTCCTGATGTACTGAGCACGAGTCCAGGTTCATGACCGAGGCGCTTCAGGTTTAGGACAACCTGAAGCGCTCGCTCATGATTCTCGTGCTCTGCCGTCATGAGAATTTGCGAATTCTGGATTTCTTCATGATGTATTCACTCGGATGATGTCCTGATGTCCACAGCATGTCCATAGAGTCCACATTCATGGGTAAGCGCTTTAGGAGACCTGAAAACGCAATGCTGAAGCGAAAAATGGTAATATTACCTGCTCTCCCCGACAGCGTAGATGGCGAGGTAGTTTCCTGCAAAGATTTCAATAGAGATCTTCTCGAACAGAGTAACACCCGCTCTGTTGAAACTCCAGTCCACAAATTACATCCTCAAGTTCGAATTCAGTGTCTAACACAGCGGCAGTTCCAGTTGTGCTCGGCGAGTATGGCACAATGTAAATTTACAATCATGCTAAAGTTGCGCGAGACATAGATCTGTTTTGCACTGAACCTCCATTATCTGCATCTCATCACTGTTGATGCGATGGATGAATCTGCTAACATGTTTACTAAATGCTTCAGAAAGGGCTAGGGGAATGTCAACTCCTAAGATCCCCTCACAATGTAACCTTTGTAATTTGCTCATGGGTTCCAAGTGAAGCAATGGTTCACATTTCTTTCCTGCCTGAACACACATATTGAGAATACTGTAAACCTTCCCATAGCTCCAGCAGCAGAGATGCTGTAGAGACTTCGAGGTTCTTACTTTCGCCAGTTTTGAAATGTTCAATCTGCCCCGTATCCACGCAGACGACTTTAGCTTAGTGGTAAGCGAAACCCATAAAACCATGTGTCACTATTCACAATATTGAAGTTTAGAATTCTAGGTCAAAATATGGAATGAGTATGCTGTGAGATATCAAATTCAGTTGCATGTCATTTTCTCTTTTAGAGTCTTTGTAGTTTTATATTATTTAGTAATAAAAAATCTTGCTGATGAATCAATATCCTATAGATTGTGTAGGAATTGATAGCTTTGATTCATTCTGATTTTTTACTGATATAAGGTACCGTTATAAGTCAGAATGATATAAAGTCAATCAGCGGATTAAGGTAGAGATGACAATGAGAAGGATTTTAAGAATGGTTGAGAGTGAGAAACGGGAGACACATAGAGAGAGGGAATCATCTGTGAGGAAGTGTTAGTCTTGCTCGGAAAACATGAATGATTATTTTGTGTGTGTATTTTCCACTAGACTGAAACCTTGTAATGATGGTAGTAAATTCAAGTCTGACGAAACTTATCTTGGATATATATACTCAAACTGCCTTCATTGGGGAGTTCGCGGGGACTAGGCTTCCAAGCTGAACCTCATCAACAAATGCTTGTGTGTGTATGGTGTGTGGACTGATTTTCTGTAGGTTATGGGAATTCAGATCCCTACAATGGTATCAGAGCATCGTAGCATTGATTTTGAATTCACACTTTTGTCGCATCTGTCTCCTGCGCTCAACTCATTTTAACGGACTTGGAAGCATCAAGTCTCCTTGCTGGGCTCACCGGCGAACCAGAAAGGAGCAACGACCTTCCACAGCAAAGCACGAACACAAATTAGTCTCAACTAAGCATATCAAATTTCAATTCTTGGAATCCTCCGACAGGAATAAGAATCAACATAGAGAAATTTGATGGAACTGGAGATTTTTGCATTTGACGCCAAAAAACCTTAGCTGTTGTGGTAACCCACTTTTTGTTTTTATGCGGAATTTAAAACATTTTTGGAAAACAGTAACGCATCAGCAGTGTAAATAGTAATTGGTGCATTTAAATAGAGTGAAAATGGATGATCGCGGGTCTCGTAGAATCTTGTAGAATCCAAGAGTTGGGCGCAATGTCCGGAATAGGCGCCCCGGCCCGAACGACCGATTCTGAAGGGAATCCCCTTCGGCGCAAGGCGGAGAATATGCCTTTGGCGCTAGGGAAATCCCTCAGAACTTATTCAATTCATAACGCCTTGACTTGGTTAGAATTTCGTTGGAAAGAACTTGACGCGTTCGTTCTAACGAGCCCAAGAACGCTTGAAACGGCTTAGGGATCAAGAAGTTAAGATTGTCGGAAGATACTAAGAGGGAGCGCCTTCGGCGGAAGAGCTAGGTCGACGGACGAGCCGCCTTCGGCCCTAGGTCAACGCCTTCGGGGGTGAACTCCTTCGTACGAGCGCCTTCGGCACCAGCGCATCAAGATTAGGTCAAATCTTCGGGGCAAGCAACTCCGTACGGTCCGCCTTCGGCCCAACGCCTTCGGCGGTACGGACACTTGCGCCTTCGGCGGAACGGAACTCCTGCGGCGAGAGCGCCTCGGGGGGACAAGAGGGATCGACAGAAAGGACAAGACCAGTTGACTAGGGTCAACGCCTTCGGCCCAAGCGACTTTGGCGATGCACCTACGTCGACGGACGCCTTCAAGGATTTGCCTTCGGCGCTGCAGGTCAACGCCTTCGGCGGAATGCCTACGGCGGAGCGCCTTCGGCGGTGCGGGATAGAACAGAGATGCGAGTCGGCCAAAGGCCAAAGCCTCTGTCGCCGCGCGTTCGGCGCTGCGCGAACAAGGCCACGGCGAAGTACGATGGTAGAAATCGAATTCAATTTTCGAGCGTGTGAGTCTGCGCAACGGCGGAGCGTGAAGCCGAGCGTGCGAGAGGAGGGCTGTTACGCCTCCAAGCCGGCGCAGCCATCAAGTGGGTCGACTCCCACGCCAAGTGTCGACGATGAAATCTTGTGAGCCGAAGGCGGGCGACTCATTCTTGAACTTGCAATTCGATTTCTCGTGAGAGCTGCGCGCGCATGCAAGTGGGCAGAGAGAAATCAAAGGAGAAGGCGACGCGCAGAGACTGGCAAGACACAGAGAGAATTGAAAATGCGACCACGGAAATTGAGTGAGAGTAGAGCTCGCAGAGGGATTGCATCCGCGGGCAAAAAGCTTGGGCATAGCAGAGGAGAGTTTGCGCAGTATTCAAGAACGCGATGTCGAAAGCAACACAGCTGCGGATGATTCCGTTGAAGCTTCCACAGATTGGGATGCGCACTTTCCAGCACAAGCTGATTGCGGTGAAGCTTGATTTCCTCCTGTGGGGGTGGAATTACGTGTGCCAGGACATGGTGCGCGAGTGGCAGAAGGAGAGCGACCAACCTGGGCGCGGGTTTCGACCGCACGTAGAGCGATGGGTCATCGAGGACTGGGAACAAGTGTTGGCAAGATGTGCGGGAGAGGACGGGCATCTCCTCTTCGATAGCGAGAGCATCAAGGTCACGAGGGAGGAGGAGATTTCCTTCGCGGCTCTTTTCAAGAGCAGCAAGTCCAGCAAGAACGGGTACAAGACCCGGGACTACAAGGATCGCTACCGCAGAAATGTCGCGGTAGCACTTCTCCAACTCTTGTAGCCGCACAGGACCACCTACATCACTTCTTGGCAGGTGGCATTCGTGGAGCTGGCGTTGATCGGAGCTCCAATTCACTAGGCTCGTATCCTATGGAAGATAACGCGGCAGCATGCGTTTGAGGAGAAGGGGGGATCGATCAATCACCTCTCCCCCTTCTTGATCAATTTTTATTGGTCGATGGGTTGTCTAACCGCGACTGAACGAATTCAATTTCCATTGCTGTCACGCAGCATTCCCGAGCGGTACGTGAAGGACGTCGAGGTTGACACCGACGAAGAAGAGACTCCTGCCTCCACGCCACCAGTCCAACCGAAAGCTGAAGGAGAATCACTCGCGGCGCGAGTGTCGCGGAAGCGGAGATGGAAGGGAGAAGCACAGAAGGGTCAACATCGCGATTCGGCTGCTCTCAAACGAAAGCGACCACTGCACGAGCTCTGCAGTCGGCCGAAGCAGAAAGCACGCAGGCTCGTGTTGCCTACAAGTAGCGCGGAGACGGGGCGTGCCGCATGAGAGAAGGAGTCACCATCCTCGGAGGAGGATGGGAACACACGGACTGCAGAGGGGTCAGCGGACCTCCCTACGCCGAAGGCACACACACACACCTTCTGCGGAAGCAAGACAGCCTTCGGGCCAGGAGAGACGACACACGGCACCGACGAACGTGCCGGCGGCGGTAGGTGTTCCGCGCGAATACCGTTCGCGGACTCGCCTTCGGGGCTGGAGCCTTCGGCGCAGCGGAGGAAGGGAAAGGAGCCGGCGGAAAATGCGCCTTCGACTCAAGAGCCTGCGGCCCAAGAGATTGCGAGTAGGGAGCCTTCGGCGGAAGAACCGCCGGAAGGTGCGCCTTCGGCTCAAGGGCCTTCGGCCCAAGGGACTTCGGGCGAGCCGCCTTCGGCGGAAGCGCCCTCGGCAAAAGACGCATCAGAGGAGCAAGACGACAAAGAGAAGGAGGAGGCACGTGTGCCTTCGGCACAGCCGCCTTCGGCTCAAGCGTCTTCGGCGATGGACGCCTTCGGCGCTGCGGCGTTGGTAGTCACAGATCGGGCGGGCGGTGCGAACTTATCGAAGACAGTATCCCCCACCGCCTTAGACATTTTGGCCGGGAGCAGTAGCAGCAGAAGCAGACGCTACGCAGCCCAACTCCCGGGAATCGCCAAGGAATTCAGTGGTGACCGAAATCCTCAATTCGGAGGATGACGGAGAAGGAGAATCGGGCTCGGACGAGAAGGAGGAGCAATTGGTGGCAGGCACGCCGACGGCGGCACTATGCGAGCAGGTGTTACCTCTGCTGAGGTATCTCGATCGCAAGGTGACGAAGTATGCAGACCCCCGCCACCCTGGGTCCTACGTCGAATTAGTGCGTAGGCGGACTCGCACTAAAGTCCGAACTAGCAAGTTGTTGGCACGCTTGGATGGGGACATCCAGGATCTGCGATTGAAGAACAAGGCACTGTGTGGCCACATTGCTCTTTCACGGAAGCTGCAGAAGGTCGTTGACGAGACGCGCGATGAGAAGTTTGAGGAGGCGAAGAAAGAGTTCGCCGAGGAGAAAGCGAAGCTCGCGGATGAGCTGGATTCTGATCAGACTCAGAATCGAATTTTGTAAGAGGGGCTCGTGCGGCAGACACGGTTGCTAGAACAGTGTCAGCTCGCACGCCAAGCGGATGAAGACTTAATCCGCAAACTGCAATCGGAGTGCGGCGAATTGAGAGCGCAGTGTGCGGACGCAGAGTTGCACTTGGTAGTGGTTGAAGACGATCGCCGGCGGGAGGCAGATCGCATGAACAAAGAGTTGGTGAAGCGAGTGAACCC